AGAGGCAGAGGCAGAGAGACAGAGGTCTTCCATCTGCTGGTTCACTCCTCAAATGGCCACAATGGCCGGAGCTGGGCTGATCCAAAGCCAGGAGCCAGGAGTTTCATCTAGGTCCCTCATGTGGGTGCAGGGTCCCAAGCATTTGTGCCATATTACACTACCTTCCCAGGCATATTAGTAGGGAGCTGGACTGCAAGTGGAGCAGCCAGGACTTGAACTAGCGCCCACATTGGATGCCTGCTCTGCAGACAGCAGCTTTACCCACTACACCACAGCCTCTGCCCCCAAATTTTTTCATAATATGCATTTCCATGAACTTTTTGAAGGTTCCCATATTTATATAAAACTGTGGATTCATATTTGTTATTCTATTTCCAATTCAAATACCATTCTAGCCTTCTTCCTTTCTATATTTTTACTCTTGTCTGACAGCAATCTGAAAATTATTCACATATATTTACTAATTTTCTCTAACCTAAAATTTGCCAGATGGTTTTAGAATTACCAACTTATTCCAGGCAGGAAACACACTACCTAATGAGATTTTAAGATCTGCTATGAGGGGTGGGTATTGTGGCACAGCTGGCTCCTGGCTGTTTGGGCCACCAGCATCCCATAGCAGAGTGTTGGTTCGAGTCCCATCTACTCTGTGCTTCCAATCCAGCTTCCTGCTGATGTGCCCGGGAGGCAGTGGATGATGGCCCAGGTACTTGGGTTGCTGCCACCTTTATGTGAGACCTGGATGGAGTTTCTGGCTCCTGGCTTTGGCCTAGGCCAGTCCTGGCTGTTGAGGGAGTGAACACTTTTTCTGTCTCTCCTTCTCTCTCCCTTTGTCACTCTGCTTTAAAATAAATAAGTAAATCTTAAAAAAAAAAATATACTAATATCAGTACAAGCACACCAGTTCAGATCAGGTGCCGATCCTGTCAGATCTCAGCCAGTGTTATCTGAATGCAAAGTGGAACCCAGAGTTTTATTGACATAGACAACTACACTTGACCTCAACTAAGGAATCAGCCCATCCCAGAACACAGTTACCATAAGTACCAATCCAGCTTGACATAAAACTAAATCACTCCAGACCAACCCAGATCAGATCTGAAGCTTGATTTAGGATGGCTGAAAACCCAGGATATGCTAGCTAGTTCAGTCCTAGATTCACTTGTTCATTAATTTCTTTCTTCGTTAACTATTCACCGTAGGCCTACTGTGTTCCAGGACTGTGGTAGGTGCTGAGGTTTAGCTGGATGTGAGATGATTTCCTAGGAGCTTGCAACACCCAGTGTTCTACCTGCAGGGCCCAGATCCTCTTTCTGTTGTAGTTAGCACTTCCAGACTAGTGTCATCAGATAAGTGTTCATAGATTTTCCTCATGACATCATATTCTGCTGCATCCCATCATAAAATTTATGACAAATTTTATTACATAATCATATGTCCCTTACTGGCCCCACACTACAATCTTGAATAGGACTTTTTAAAAAATTTATTTTCATTTTATTTGAAAGGCAGAGAGAGACAGAGATCTTCCATCTGCTGGCTTACTCTCCAAATACCCACAACAGCTTGGGTTGGACCAGGCTGAAACCAGGAGCCAGAAACTCCATCAGGGTCTCCCTTGCGGGTGGGAGGGATCCAAGTACTTGACTCCTCATCTACTGCCTACCAGGGTGAGTACCAGCAGGAAGCTGCATTGGAAGCAGGGGAGCCTGAACTCGGATCAGGTACTCTGACCTGGGATGCAGGCATCTTAACCACTGGGTTAAACACCCACCCCAGACCTAGGAGATTTCTATACCTGCTTATAACTATTCATCCAACAAATATTTGTTAATGTCTTTAGATTGCCAGGATTTGGAGACATGAAAATGCTGTCTTTAAGTAACTCATAATCTTTAATTCCACCAAAGGCAATGGATAATTTTTTTAAAAAAATCTACTACAGTGTGAGAAATTCTATAATAAATTTATTTTCAAAGTTCTATCGGAGCCGGTGCCGCAGCTCAACAGGCTAATCCTCCGCCTTGCAGCGCCGGCACACCGGGTTCTAGTCCTGGTCGGGGCGCCGGATTCTGTCCCGGTTGCCCCTCTTCCAGGCCAGCTCTCTGCTGTGGCCCAGGAAGGCAGTGGAGGATGGCCCAAGTCCTTGGGCCCTGCACCCCATGGGAGACCAGGATAAGCACCTGGCTCCTGGCTTTGGATCAGCGCAGTGCGCTGGCCGCAGCACGGCGGCCATTGGAGGGTGAACCAACAGCAAAAGGAAGACCTTTCTCTCTGTCTCTCTCTCACTGTCCACTCTGCCTGTAAAGAAGAAAAAAAAAAAAGTTCTATCGGAGCCCAATGGAGTTGTCTTTCTTTCTTTTCTTTTCTTTTTCTTTTTTTTGAAAGGCAGAGTTAGTGAGAGAGAGAGACAGAGAGAAAGTTCTTCCTTCTGTTGCTTCAACCCTCAATGGCCCCTACAGCCATTGTGCTGCGCTGATCCGAAGCCAGGAGCCAGGTGCCGCAGGCGGAAGATTAGCCTAGTGAGCCATGGTGCCAGCCATGTTTCCTGCTTTTAAGAACCAGAATGAAGGTCAGAGTGATCTTCCTGAACCTGTTGGGCTTAATTTCTTTTTTTTAAATCTAAGTGCCCTTTATTTAAAAATAGCCATATGCGGCCAGTACTGGGGCTCACTAGGCTAATCCTCCACCTGCGGCACCGGCACCCCGGGTCCTAGTCCCGGTTGGGGCGCCGGATTCTGATCCAGTTGCTCCTCTTTCAGTCCAGCTCTCTGCTGTGGCCCGGGAGTGCAGTGGAGGATGGCCCAAGTGCTTGGGCCCTGCACCCCATGGGAGACCAGGAGAAGCACCTGGCTCCTGGCTTTGGATCAGCATGGTATGCTGGCTGCAGCGCGCCGGCCGCAGTGGCCATTGGGGGGTGAGCCAACGGAAAAAGGAAGAGCTTTCTCTCTCTCTCTCTCTTTCTCTCTCTCACTGTCCACTCTGCCTGTCAAAAAAAAAAAAAAAAATAGCCATATGCCATACCAATGGATTCTGGCGCCTTCAACATAACAGAGACAAAATGCTCTAAGAGATCCTAGTATCAGATCAGAATATTCTTGGGGTTAAAATGGCAGGATATAAATATCCAGCTGCTTCTGTTTCTGTCACAGTGGATGTTCAAAGGTCTGCATACTTCGGTCATACATCACCTTTTCCTCCTGAGACACATTTCCCAACAGTGACTCACCTCTGTTATACAGAATTCCCCAAACCAGTGTCAGAAATGCCTACAAGTGCTAGGCAGACAGTATGAGTAAAGGTGGCTCAGTGAGGACTGCGGTGAACCTAGGCTATCTGCCTTGTCCAAAGAAGGAAGCTGTTTGCTACAGCCTGCGGGTGCCACGTAAGAACACAGGCCAAGGGGTGTCAAAACTCAAGCTTTCTCAAAAGAAGCCAGAAATCCTGCAACATCTCTTATGCAGGCCAACAGAATATCTTTTTTTTTTTTTAAAGATTTATTTTATTTCAAAGTCAGAGTTATACAGAGAGAGGAGAGGCAGAGAGAAAATGAAGTCTTCCATCCACTGGTTCACTCCCCAGATGGCTGCAACAGCTGGAGCTGTGCCGATCTGAAGCCAGGAGCCAGGAGCTTCTTTCGAGTCTCCCATGCGGGTGCAGGGGCCCAAGGACTTGGGCCACCTTCTACTGCTTTCCCAGGCCATAGCAGAGAGTTGGAATGGAAGTGGAGCAGCCAGGTCTCGAACTGGCGTCCATATGGGATGCCGGCCAGGGCTTTAACCCACTGAGCCACAGTGCCGGACCCTAGAATATCTTTATGGGCCATATTCTATCCTGGGCAGCAATCTGAGATCTTTGGCCTAGGACTTTGATCCTTTTCTGTGTTATCATACATGAAGGAATGAGTGACTGTTGCATCTCTTTATGACATCAGTGGTTACTGATTTCCCAAATATGAATCCTGCCCTTCTGTTGTGCACCACCTACTGGTGATTCCAGAGTCTGTCCATCTCTTAGGATGTCAAGTTTTTTACTGACTGAGTTTGTGGCTCCTGGCTTCAGCCTGACCCAGCCCTGGCTGTTGCAGGCATTTGGGGAGTGAACCAATGGATGGAAAACCTCTCTCTCATTCTCTCTCTCTCTCTCTGCCTTCCAAGCAAATACAAATAATAAATAATTCTTAAAAGATTTCAAGATTCACTCCTCTACTTGTGATATCATGAACTATAGAAACAATCTTCTTCACTCTTGAAGGTTGCTTTGCCACACCCTTTATGATAGCATGAATTTCTCTAACACCTTGAAATAACAACTCATTCCTTCATCCTACTGAAATCCTGTGTGTATCATCTTTTTGTATCATCTCCCAGTGATATCAACCTCATTCCAGAACTGCAACCTGAGGTGGGGAGTGGAAAGATACAATCTACATGGCATCACAAAAGGATGAAGTGGGGGCTGGCATTGTAGCATAATGGGTTAAACCACTACCTGAATGCCAGCATCCCATATTTGCACTGGTTTGAGTCCCAGCTGCTCCATTTCCAATCCAGCTCCCTGCTAATGTGCCTAGGAAGTCCACAGAGGATGGCTCAAGTCCTTGGAGCACTGAACCCACATGGGAGACCCGGATGAAGCTCCTGGCTCTTGGCTCCTGGCTTTGGCCTGGCCCAGCCTCAGCCACTGCGGCCCATTTAGGGCGTGAACCAGCAGATGGAAGATCTCTGTATCTCTCCCTCCCTCTCTGTAACTCTGCCTTTCAAATTAAATAAATAAATATTTTGGAAAAAAAAAAGAAAATGTCTGCATAAAAGCTTTTAAAAGGGTCGTACAGGGGCAGGTTTTGTGTTGCAGTGGGCTAAGTTGCTGCTTGGGATGCCTGCCTACTATATTGGAGTACCTGGAATTAAGTCCCACCTCTGGTTCCAATCCAGTTTCCTGCTAATGAACATGGGAGGCCGCAAATGACGGCTAGAGTGCTTGAGTCCCTGCCACCTGTGGGGAGCAACCCGGACTAGACTGAGTTACTGGAATTAAGACTTATTCTATGCATCTGCTCTCCCACAATATGGCGCTGGGAGAGAAGTAAACAGCTTCCGCACAGCTGCCTCCAGTTCAACCAATAAACTGTAGGACTTGCTCCTGATTGGAGAGCAGCGTACTCGGCGTGTGGGCAGCCGAGTTAGGATTGGCGGAGGAGGACTATAAAGGAGGAGAGAGACGGCATGCACCGGGAACATCTAAGGGGAACATCTAGCTGAAGGAACACCTGTGCAGCCCCCGAGAAAGCCGGCCGGCGGTGTGCTGCTCCCCTGCGGAAGTGGGGAATGTGGCCAGGGGGAACTGCCCTTCCACGGAGGTGGAAGGGATAGTAGCCAACCCGGGAAGAACCAGCAGCAAACCCGGGGAGGGCCGAGCAGACGAAAGAACAGCGCAGGGTCCTGTGTCGTTCCTCCACGAAGAGTGGGAGCAACAGCCACCCTTTCAGGAGACCTATATGGAGTTCCTGGCTCCTGGCTTCACCTGGTATAGTCCTCATTGTTTCAGGTATTTGGTGGGTAAACCAGCAGATGTAATTCTCTCTCTCTCTCTCTCTCTCTCTGTCTCTCTCTCTCTCATTCTCTCTCCCTCCGCCTTTCCAATGAATGAATCTAATAGAAAAATAAAGATAGTGTTTTCAAGTAGTGCTGTTTTAAAGGATTGCCTGACCTCTGGTGAGTGGTTCATAGAGGGCCAAAGTGGGAATAGGACATTTATTTGGAGGCTATTTGTAGTTTTCCATTGAGAAATGATGATGATTTGGACATGGTGGGGGTGGATAGAGAGGTATAGTTTATGTATTTTGAAAGTAGAACTTGTTGATTGACTAGATGTGCAGGAAAACAGAGAATTAGAATTGGCTCACCTGGTTTTAACTTGAGCAACCGGTGCATTTACTAGATGAGAAGGATAGAGAGTGGTGAGTAGGTTGTCTGGGAAGCAGATGTTTAGACAGTGTTAGGAGCACAAAAGGCTTATCAGGGAATAATAGCTGTGACAGGAAACGTGGCAGAAGCAGAATTGTGCAGGAGCAGCCCTCAGACAATGACACACACTGGACAACATCTCTGCTGGCCTAGCACGGAGCTGCAGAGCAAAAATTGCCAGTTAGAGTTTTCTGTTGCACTAGACCTAGGATTATCACCTGGCCTAAGGCGAACATGGCTTAAGTAGGCCACCCCCTGAGGAGAGGGGCTGTGAAGCTGAGGTAGACCTGAGACAGGTGACAGCCAGAGGCTGTCAGTTAACTGCACTGCTCACAGCTGGGCAGTCAGGTCTTTCTTCAAGTGGAAGCTGAGTAGATTTCCATGTTTCCTGCAGGGAATAACAGACAGAAAAGATTAAGAATTTAGTTTTAGACAAGAGGGGTGCTGATAGTTAACTGAATCATATATTCATTAAAGGAGTACTATGCTTTCACCATAGGCCATCCAAATGGAAATGTAGATAGTTGCAGGCAGTCTAAATTTCATTAAGAGATGTTTGGGCCAGAGATGTTTGAGTATTAGCATATACTCGGTATTTAAGGTCATGGACTGCCTGGCGTTATGAAACGAGACACAAGATGTTTCTAAACCTAGAGAAGAATCACTTTTCTAGAGATTCTCTACAAGCAATTTAGGTCATCACATTGACTGCTGGGACCAAGGAACATCCCTGGCATTTGATGGGCAGGGTCTAGGTATGTAAAACCTTCTGCCCAATAAAGAGATGTCTTACATAAAATACTGAAGGTGCCCCTGTGATAAACTGGCTGTAGTTGGAGAGGACGTTTCAAAGCCAACCCTTGAGGCATTCCATCCTGGGTATTGGCAAAGAAGCTGGAAAGGAGACTGGAAAGGAGTATTCAGGAAGGTAAACAGAGAGCTAGAAGAAGAGAAGAAGGCAGTGTCAGGTGTCAAGAGAGGAAAGTGTTTCCAGGAGGGGGAAGTTAACAGCAACCAAAGCTGCTGAACAGTTGAGTACGATGAGGACAGAAGCTTCTCCACTCACAGGTGGCCTCGGCAAGAATAATCTCACAGAGTGGTGGATATTGAAGCCAGACTGGCATAAACTGAGAGTCAAAAAGTGCGAGCAAGGAGACAAAGGAACTTTATGAACAAATTTGGATAATTAGCAGGGCTGCAATTTGGAGGATGATTTGGGGTCAAGGAAAAGATTTTATTCCTCACCTTACATCGGGAAAGTTTTAAGCATACAGCAAACTTGGAAAGAATTTTGCAGTAAAATCACTAAATTTGACAACATTTTACTCTACTTGTTTTACCACATGTCTTTATCCACCAGGAAGGAATTTTTAAAGATGGAAGACACTCCTGTAGCATGTTTGTACATCAGCCTGAAATGTGATTCCATAGCCAGGGAAAGATCAACCGTTCGAGAAAGAAAGGAAATAAAGGAATCAAGTCGCTAAGAGGTGAGGGGGTGGAATTTAAGGCACAGGCAGTGGGACTGCCTATTGGTGTTATGGAGAAGAAAGAGTGAAATAAGTAGGGAAATATCTAGGTTTATGGATTTGATATTGGAAAAACGTGGCAAACACAGTGTCATTGCCTAACTAACAGCTAGGCTCTCTTATTCTTTGTTGACAGAACCCAACGTTTGGTGTGGGGGCAGCAATGGGCCCAGAGTGAGGGGATTAATCCTGATTGATCTAAGCCAACATGACTGCTTTTGTCTCCCTTGCCAGACATTAACTTTCCTATCATAGCTGTAGCTAAGAGAATGGTTGCATAATATATTTCTAGTCAATGAAACTTGAGGGGTGTTTACTGGGGCTGGGATGGTTGTGTTTTGGGGGAGTTTCTGTGAAAAGTTTTCCTTTGCTGATAAAAGGAGATTGAGCTCCTCACATAAAAGGTCAGCCTCTTTTTCACCTTCTTCTCCCATCTCCTACCCTATGTATTTCCTGTTTTAAAAAAGCAGATTTATTTTATTTGAAAGGTAGACACAAACACACACACACACAAACACAATTTCCACCTGATGGTTCACTCCCCCAATGGCTGCAACAGCCAGGACTAGGTCATGCTGAAGTCAGTAGTCCAGAACTCCACCCGGGTCTCCCACATGGGTGGCCAAGGACCCAAGTACTTGAGCCATCATCTGCTACCTCCTGTGATGCATATCAGCAGGAAGCTGAGTGGGAAGTAGAAGAGTTGGTACACAAACCAAGCTCTGCAATATGGGATGTGGGCAATCCAAGCAGCAACTTAACTGCAGTGCTAAACCCACATCCCTATTTCATATATATATATATATTTTTTTTTTAATTTATGTATTTAATTGAGAGACAGACAGTAAGGGAAAGAGAGTCAGACAGAGTGCTCCTGCCTTCTGGTTTACTAATCAAATACTGGCAGCAAGCATGATTGGGCTGGGCTGAAGCCAGGAATCAGAAAGAGCCATGTGGGTTGCAGGACCCCAATTACTTGAGCCATTACTACTGCCTCTCAGGGTCTGCATTAGACCCCAATTACTTGAGCCATTACTGCTGCCTCTCAGGGTCTGCATTAGACCCCAATTACTTGAGCCATTACTACTGCCTCTCAGGGTCTGCATTAGACCCCAATTACTTGAGCCATTACTGCTGCCTCTCAGGGTCTGCATTAGCAAGAAGCTGAAATCATAAGCCCAAAGCTAGGAATCAAACCCAGGTACTGTGATATGGGTCAGGGACATCTTAACTGCTTGGGACTCCATTATCCCATGTTGGAATGACTGAGTTCAAGTCCTGGCTCTGCTCCCAATTCCAGCTTTCTTCTGATGTAGACTCTGGGAGATGGCAGGTAATGGTTCAAGTAGTTGAGTCCCCACCACTCACATGGGAGACCTGGACTGAGTTCCTGACTCCTAGCTTCAGCCTTAGCCCAGCCTGAGCTGTTGTGTACATTTGGGGAGTAAACTAGTAGATGGGAGATCTTTCTGTGTCTCTATGTCCTCTGACTTTCAACAAAAAATATGGAATGAATTGGAGAATGGGATAAAGGTGAAAAATTTTTGCACTGAGGATACTGCAAATATTATTATGGGTGAATTATCGAGACCAGGGGTTAGTAAGTTTTTTCCAAGCCACACAGTCTCTGTCTCAGCTACTCAACTCTGCCACTGTGGCACAAAATCAGCCAGAGACAACACATTACACGTGTGACTGTTGAATGTGGCTGTGTTCCAATAAAACTACCTGCAAAAACAAGTAATGGATTGATTTGCCCCATTGTTTGCTGATCTTAATAAATCTTAAGTTTTGGCTACCATGTAGAGTTTATCATTGAGTGTTCTTGTTTCTGACTACTTACTGTTTATTCCTCCTTCTTCCCTCTTAGCAACAAAATGAAGAACTTGCTTCAGTAACTAATCGGCCAGTTGATGTTCTGTAGGATCCTGGAAGAGGAAGTAAGAAGGGAATAAACTGAAGTATTAAAAAGGTTAGAATTTCCTTAACATCATTTCCACTCCCGCCCCCACCTTGAGATTAATATAGGGCAGAGTTCACATCAGCTGATTCTCTGGTGTTGTGTTCCTGTTATTCAATCCTAGCCTTCAGCAAACTCATTCTGAGTTTCTCAGCTGAACCAAAGGAAATCAAAGAATTTTCTTGGAATCAAGGAAACCAAGGAATCAACTGCTTAAACTAAGTTGAGCAATAACCTCTTGAAGGCAGTGGCAGTGGCAATCAGACAAGGTTTCCATGGGAACAGGGTGGACTTAGGAGTTGGGGGGAGGGAAATAAAATCTGTAAGCATCTTCTCTCTAGCACCTTGTACACATCCTCTGAACCTTTACATTACTTATGATCACAGGATACAGATGGAGCAACTGAGACACACCATCCACCCTCGATACTGTATTAAACATGAGGGGCAGGCATCTGGCTTTGCAGTTAAAGCACAGGTTAAGATGCCTGCGTCCCACACTGGAGTACCTGGGTTCAATTTCCAGCTGGCTCAAGAGTCCAGCTTCCTGGCAATAAACACATGGGAGGCAGCAGGTGATGGCTCAAGTAGGTGGGTCCTTACCACTCACATGGAGGACCTGGATGGACTGGGTTCCTGGCTCCCAGCTCAGGCCCCAGCTCTGGGAGCTGTTTTTCTGCCTGCCTCTTAAAAAAAAAAAAAGTTAATGAGCCATGCACCCTCTGCTTTACAAATATAAATTCATTTAATCTTCAACAGCCCTATGAGGTGGGAATTATGATTGCCTTCATTTTACAGATAGAGAAACCATGTGATGGAGACAGGTTTAGTAGCTTGTTGGAGGATGTTGGCTAATATGGGTGGAGCTGGGCTTTTAATCCAAGCAGAACAGCTTCATTGTCCACGCTCTTAAGCACGGTGTGTCACCACTCAGAAAGATTCCCTCATTCAATACTTGTTGGACAATGACTCTGCCAGAAAAAGCTCCAGCCTAGAGTTAGCTAACTAACTCAAGACCAGACACAGATCATAAGCCATAAAGCCGGGGATGGAACTCAATTCTGCTTGGAAACCCTGTGTTCTTTCTCTGTGCAATGCAGTGACTATGAGTATATTTTCCTACTCTCCTTACCCTGGGAAGTTCTCTGTCAGCACTAACTTCCCCAAGTTCTGGGTTTTACTTCAGCAAAGTGGTATTTCTTTGCAAGTCTCTAGGAAGATAGCATATTTCTAGATCTTACTATCAACATTCCTCTTTTTCTGTACCACTAAGCAGTCTTTATTAGTATATCAGCTGCTGTTCTGTTTTACATGCACATGACCTTCTGAAACAATTTCCTTCTAATCATGGATCTTGCTGTTTCATTACCATTTGCTCTGACTTCCTTGTCCCTCCCGCCCCTACTCCTGGATATTGCTGAGAATAATGTCATCATCTCAGTCACCAACAAAGTGTTCATTATCCTTTTCATTTTATTTATTGCATTGTTGCACTAGTTCAATCTTTTCATTTTTCCAGGTGTTATTCATCTCCATTGGATTTCTAGGAATAACTCAGATAGATTGTTATCAGATCTCCGAAGGTCTACCCTTAAAGGGTCTAACCCACATTTTTTTTTAAAGATTTATTTATTTATTTGAAAGTCAGAGTTACACAGAGAGAGGAGAGGCAGACAGAGAGAAAGAGAGAGAGAGAGAGAGAGGTTTTCCATCTGGTGGTTCATTCCCCAACAGGCCACAATGGCTGGAGCTGGAGCTGTGCCGATCTGAAGCCAGGAGCCAGGAGCTTCTTCCAAGTCTCCCACATGGGTACAGGGGCCCAAGGACTTGGGCCATCTTCTGCTGCTTTCCCAGGCCATAGCAGAGAGCTGGATGGGAAGTGGAGCAGCTGGGTCTCAAATGGGCGCCTATATGGGATGCTGGCACTTCAGGCCAGGGTGTTAACCAGCTGTGCCACAGCACCAGCTCCCTATCCCAAATTTAAATGCCTAATTCAGGCACTTTGTGTTGTCCCCTGTGCTAGATTACAGGTAATAAAAATGTGCAAGAGGGGCTGGCATTGTGGCACAGGAGGTTAAGCCACTGCCTGTGATGCTGGCATCCCACACTAGAGTGTTGGTTCCAGTCCTAGCTGCTCTGCTTTGGATCCAGCTCCCTGCTAATGCACCCCCAGGAAGGCAGTGGAAGATGGCTCAAGCACTTGGGCCCTGAAACTCGTGTGGAGATGTGGATGGAGTTCCAGACTCTTGGTTTAAGCCTGGCCTAGTTCTGGCTATGGGGGTCATTTGGGGAGTGAACCAGTGGGATGGAAAATCTATTTTTCTCTCTCTGTTCCTCTGTCACACTGCCTTTCAAATAAATAAACTTATTTTTTTAAATGTGCAAGATAGTTGTTACTTTCAATGTTACAGTCTAGTATTTCCTGCAGTGTTGGAATGTGGTACCACCTGATTTGTCACTTTAACAAGGGTTACTAATGATACTAATATTTTCTATGTTTTTCTTTTCTTTTTTTTTTTAAGATGTATATATTTTTTGAAACTCCAAGTAACAAACAGAAAGAAAGAAATATCTTCCTTCTGTTGTTCACTCCCCAGATGGCCGCAATGGCCAAAGCTGGGCCAGGCTAAACCAGGAGCCATGAGCTTCTTCCAGGCCTCACACATGGGTGCAGGGGCCCAAGGACTTCAGCCTCCCTCTGCTACTTTCCCAGACACATTAGCAGGGAGTTGGATCAGAAGTAGAGTAGCCAGGACTTGAACTGGCACCTATATGGGATGCCAGCACTGTAGTTGGTAACTTTATTCACTATGCCACAACACCAGCAGCCCTTTTCCTGTTTTTTAGTTTTTCAATTTAGTGCTCCTACACCCTAATCTCCAGAATGTCTTTTCCTTTCTCAAGTACCTTTACTCTTTAATCTCTCCATTGGGGCCGGCACCGTGTCTCACTAAGCTAATCCTCCGCCTGTGGCGCCGGCACCCCAGGTCCTAGTCCCGGTTGGGGCGTTGGATTCTGTTCCGGTTGCTCCTCTTCCAGTCCAGCTTTCTGCTGTGGCCCGGGAGTGTAGTGGAGGATGGCCCAAGTGCTTGGGCCCTGCACCTGCATGGGAGACCAGGAGAAGCACCTGGTTCCTGGCTTCAGATCAGCGCGGTGCGCTGGCCGAAGCGCGCCGGCCGCAGCGGCCATTGTGGGGTGAACCGATGGAAAAAGGAAGAGCTTTCTCTCTGTCTCTCTCTCTCACTGTCCACTCTGCCTGTAAAACAACAACAACAACAACAACAACAACAAAAACAAAAAACAAAAAAAAACTCTCCATCAGAACTGATTATGACTATTTTTCTTACATTTCCTCTGCCATTAACCCTTCAGTGGAGGCAGAGCCAAAGCATCTGGTCTGCTTTCACAATGATGGTAAGATAAGCAGGGACAGATTTTGACTTAAAGACTGTGGACGAGTGTCCTCTTCTGAACCTCAAAACAGCACTTGGAGTTGCTGGCCCAAGTCTGTGGATGAGAGATGTTTTAAGAATGACGATAACTGGTCTTGGAAGCCAGAAAGTTGACTTAGAGTTGTAGCTCAACCACTAACTTGAGCATGGCTAGCTGGTATTGAATACTTACAATGTATCAGTCTGTTTCCCATCAATTTGGTCTACTGTAGAAGGGTACTATAGGATCCCCATTTTTAGGCAAAGAAACAAAAGCACACTTGTCCCAAGCCATGGAATCAAGAGCAAGTAGAGTCCAGTTTGGCAAGAAAGGCAGTCTTACCCTAATGTGGATACCAGTAGCCACTGGCCTATATTATTTCTGATGACAGAATCTTCCATTTTAGCCCACTTCTGAGTCCATGAGTAAAGCACCATGGTTCAAACACCTGTGGTATGAAAACGCTTGAAAGGAAAATTGTGTCTGTACTAAACATGTATCAACTTTCCCCTTGTTGTTTAGTGTAAACAATATAACAAATATCGACATAGCATTCATGGTGTTCTCAGTATCATAAGCAATCTAGAGATGATTTAAAGTATCCTAGAAGTATCCAGGAGGGATATGTAAACCCTAGGCCAATTTATATAAGGGATTAGAGCATCTCTAATGTTGGAACAAGGGGTCTTGGACCCAAACCCTCATGGATACCAGACACTGGGCTGAACTCATACACTAGGGAGCAGGTTCTTTACTGTTTTTTTTTTTTTTTTTAATTGTTATTTCACCTCTTCTTTACTAACCACCCAAAAGTAGAAAAAAAAAGCCTTTTTTTTTTCAGGTGAAAAAAGCTAAAGCTCAGAGAGATGCTATTAAGTGGTCGACTCAGGCTTTGAACCTGCCCAGAGCTCCAGAAGGGTCTGTGAGCCTTGAGCCCCACACATCGATGAGCCTCAGTTTCCCTGTCTTCCACGTGAGGACTTTGGCGATGTGTCTGCAGATGGGCGCCAGAGGTAGGGGTAATGCGACCAGGACCCAGGCACCGAGGGCCCAACAAGACGGGGTGGGGTGCGGTTGCCATTGCGCATGATTCCCGCCAAAGAGGAGGTCCAGGTGTTGGAACAGCTCGAGGCCTGTGGGCGGGAAAGGGCCCGATGGTCCCTCTCTGACAGCGGGGGCGCAGCCGGCGCCGGCCAGACGTCTGGAAGGAGGCCATCCCAGGGGTTCTGTTCGAGTCTCGGGACAGTATCTCACTCGCCCAAGTCCTGCTCCACAGGCTTCTCCAGGAAAGACCGGGAAGGAAGAGGCGCGGCCTAGCAGCCCGCGCCGCAGAGCGCCACGTCCCTCTTGGCTCAGCCTCCCCCAGGCTCCCTCGCGTTTGCACCCCGCACCGCCCACCTCTCGGCTCGTCGGCGGGGCAGCCTGTCTGCCCCTGCCAATCGGCGGCCTCCGCGATCCCGAGTCGGACCAATCCGCGGCGGCAGAGGGTGGGGCCTGTCGCCATGGCAGCGAGGGGCGGGGGCGCGCGCGGTCGGCGGCGGGCCGGGGGCTGGAGAGACAGGTCTGTGTGCTGGAGGCATTCGGCGGGCGGAGTCTCACGCGCCGACACCCGACAAGGTAAGGCCGGTGGCCTTGCGGCGGGTGCCGATGGGCGAGGTTGGGGGGCCGGGGCGCCTCTGGAAACAAGGCTCAGGTCTTTCCTGCCCTGCCAGGGCAGTGAGGATGGCTGGGGCTGCATAGAGGGCGGGCGTCGGGAAGGGGGTCTCTCGGCTCCCGTCTGAGGCACGGGGTCCCCTCCTCCGCCCCACTGGCTGCAGGGCATCCTGGCTTTCTTCGGGGCTGTTGAGGGAGGCGGGCTCTTGGCGGCTACCGGGCGAGGGTAGGTGCAGGACCGTGACCCGGGCGGGGTCCAGCTTGGTGCTGGCAGGTCGCTAGGCGAGGGAAGCGCCCCCTGGTGAGGAGGGTGCACCCACCCGTGCGGGGCTGATGCTCAGCACCCCCAGCGCCGCGGGGCGCAGCTAGGCCCAGGGATCCCGCCTTTCTGCCGCTACTGTTCAGCCTGGGAACCCTGACACTTAGGAGAAAGTTCGTGCCGGCGCGGTCGATTTCCCCCTAAGTGGCAAACGAGGCGCAATATGAGCACTTTCAGTTTTAGGGGATGAGAAAATGTTACTTCCTGGTTGCACCTGCTAGATGTTAACTCAGTGAGCAAATGTGGTTATTGCGGTTGGTGGTGGCAACGGCCTCAGAAGGCAATTATTTTACATCAGAGGAGCGGGAAGAGGAGAGAGAGAGAAATAACTGGGGAGGGAGAGGATGAGCATGACTATGAAGTAGTATTCTGATTTGGGCGAGACAGACCCTCTTGAAATCCTCAGTGTCCACTGAACTCCTGAACTGCATAGTGAACGTTTTACACAACTGAATGAGTGCTGCCTTCCAAGCCTTTTATTTACGCTCCGTCAAATCCATGGATGAGTGTGAACACTAAGTGATACTGTATCTTGGTTAAAACAGGAAAGACTTGCAAATGTTTCTGATAGTCAATTTTGTTGAAGGAGATTGTGGCCTGGAGGAAAGCTTAAGGAACTGATGAAGCAGCCGCTTGAAGGAGCTAACTGAGAGCCGTGTGACTAGGGGTATAACAGATCTGAACGGGATAACACGTAGCTTTTTGTTTTTAAGGATTTGTTTAAACCATTTGTTTCTTAAGGCCTTCCCTTGTGTGGTTTCTGTTGAATAATTGGATTCTGGTGATATCCACATGCTGGCTCTTGTCCCGTAGACGTTGTCTGAGGATTTACCCTGATTTAAGCTGAGAGTAAGTTCTTGTTGTACACAAGTTCCAAATGTAGGACAAACATTTTCCCAGATGCTCTTCAGTTATCAGGGTCAACGATTAAAATAAAATCATGGAAATTTAGAATTTTAGAAATAAAATCTCAAATGAGGTGAACATGAAACTTCTGTTTCTCATCTTCATCTCCAGACTGTTCGTTACCTGGACTTACTGTCTCGTGTGAGTCAGAAATGCATTTCTGTTTCATGTGGTTACTCTTACTCTGCACCTTAAGTTTATCTTCCAATGGTTAAGACCCATTGGGTTTCCCTTCTCTGCTCTCTCAAGATACTTGTTGTTCATATCATACATTCTATATAAACCTTTTCAGCATGCTTTTGTGCCAAGTTGGTTTGTGCTTCAGCTGAAATGAAATGCACAATTAAGGAAATTAGGGCACTTTGAAAAACGCTAATTAATTTTGAGCTCTGATATAGAGTGTCAGTATCATGATCAATTCCATTGTATTTTTTTTAAAGATCTATTTGTTTTGTGTGAAAGGCAGAGTTGCAGAGAGGCAGAGAGGCAGAGAGAAGAGAGAGAAAGAGAGAGAGAGAGAGAGAGAGGTCTTGCATCCAATGGTTCACTTTCCATATGGCCACAATGGCTGGAGCTGTACCAATCCAAAGCCAGGAGCCAGGAGCTTCTTCTGGGTCTCCCACATGGGTGCAGGGGCCCAAGGACTTGGGCCATCTTCTACTGCTTTCCCAGGCCATAGCAGAGAGCTGGATTGGAAGTAGAGCAGCCAGGACTCAAACCAGTGCCCATATGGGATGTCAGCACTGCAGGCTGTGGTCTTACACACTTTGCCACAGTGCCGGCCCCTGTATTTGTTTTTGAATATGTTACATATCTACAGAGATAGATACATTCATTGTATGTTATTTAGAAAATTTTGTATTAAAATTGCTTCCTATCTTCTAAGGACCCTCTTGATGATTGGGGTGTACAAAATATGCCTTTGAGTATTAGTTAGCTGGAGGAGGCAAATGGTAGGATTTTATAGTGTAATTGATAGTAATCCTTAGGGTAGATACTGTGATTAATTGAGTTGACTCTACTTGATGTGCTGAATGGTTAGCTTTTCTAAACAACTGAAGTCTAGGAAGGGGAAATTTGCTGTTTTTGTGTTTAATATGTGAAATTAGTTATAGACTCTAAGAAACAGGCTTCTAACAATTTCAAATAATTTGTTCAAGGAAAAACCTCAATCATTTAAATTATTTTTAAAAAATATTTTCTTTATTTATTTGAGAGGTAGAGTTAAAGAGAGAAGGAGAGACAGAGAGAAAGGTCTTCCACCTGCTAGTTCACTCCCAAATGGCCTCAATGGCCAGACTGAGCTTATCCAAAGCCAGGAGCTAGGAGCCTCCTCTGGGTCTTCCACATGGGTGCAGGGGCCCAAGGACTTGGATCATTCTCCACTACTTTCCCAGAAACATCAGCAGAGAGCTGGATTGGAAGTAGAGCTGCTGGACCTGAACTGGTGCCCATATGGGATGCCAGTATAGCAGGTGGAGGCTTAGCCTACCGTGCCACAGCACCGGCCCCACTTTTAATGCTTTTCAATATGAAATTTACATAACTACAATATGGTGAAATAGAATTTCATGACTAGATCCAATCCTGGTTCTGACAAATGATCTTGGCTAAGGCAGTTAATTTCCTTATGTTTTTCAAACTTTCTATAAAAGTAGAGACTGAAGCAGATTACCTTTGAGAATATTGTTGGTCTCAGAATTCTCCAATTCTAAAATTCTAAAGCAATCTAATGGAAATTGAGATAGCAGTCACGTGCTTTTATCTTTGCCAGAGCTCTTTAAAAAATTTTTTTTTCAAGATTTATTTATTTGAAAGGTAGAGTTACAGAGAGAGAGGTGAGATCCTCCATCTGTTGGTTCACTCCCCAAATGACCACAATGTCTGAAGCTGTGCCAATATGAAACCAGGAGCCAGGAGCTGCTTCTCAGATGGCAGCTTTACTTGCTACATCACAGCACTGGCCCTGTGTTCCTGTCTTGTTGGAAGTGTTTACTTCAGTGACCTCCAGCTTCATCAGGGCTTTGGCCATGGTGATGATCAGAGGAGAGCTCCAGTGAAAGTTTTCAAAACTGGTCTTACTTTTTAAGATCTAAACCTTGGGTGTCTCCAGAACATTTTTTCATATATGTTTGTGTCTATATATATATGCATATATATATATGTGTGTGTGTTTATATATATGTGTATATATAATATATATTTATATATGTATATCATTTTCAAGATAAGAAGGACATTGATATTTCTGAGTATACTGTACTAGTTACTTGATGTTCATTCTTATTTCCTTCCCATCAACAAACCTATGAAGAAGCATTAGTTCAAATTTTAGGGGTAGGAGAAATTAAATGGGGGAATCTGCAGCTGATTTTGTTTTAACCATGCTGGGTTAACAAAAGTCATATACCTTTCCAAAATGTAATATGCACGTGATCACTCTTCTGCATAGATTTTATGTTAAAAACAATATCCAAAAGATAAATATGTAAGTTTTTAAAATTTCAAAATACTATTTGTTTATTTATTTATTATTTTTTTTGACAGGCAGAGTGGACAGTGAGAGAGAGAGAGAGAGAGAAAGGTCTTTCTTTTCCGTTGGCTCACCCCCTAATGGCTGCTGTGGCCAGCGCGCTGCAGCCAGCGTGCTGCGGCCAGCGCGCTGCAGCCAGCGTGCTGCGGCCAGCGCACCGTGCTGATCCGAAGCCAGGAGCCAGGTGCTTCTCCTGGTCTCCCATGCGGGTGCAGGGCCCAAGGACTTGGGCCATCCTCCACTGCACTCCCAGGCCACAGCAGAGAGCTGGCCTGGAAGAGGGGCAACCGGGACAGAATCCGGCGCCCTGACCGGGACTAGAACCCGGGGTGCCGCACCACAGGCGGACGATTAGCCTACTGAGCCATGGCGCTGGCTTATTTATTTTTAACTTATTTGAAAGGAAGAGAGACAGAGAGGTGATAGAGAAAGTGAGAGAGAGGGAGAAAAACAGGGAGGTATGTCTTCCATCTGAGAGAGAGATGTATGTCTTCCATCTGCTGGTTCATTCCCCAAGTACTTTAATTTAATTTTTTTAAGATTTTATGTATTTATTTGAGAGGTAGAGTTACAGACAGTGAGAAAGAGATACAGGGAGAAAGGTCTTCCATCCATTAGTTCACTCCCCAAATGGCCGCAATGGCTGGAGCTGCGCTGATCTGAAGCCAGGAGCCAGGTGCTTCTTCCTGGTCTCCCATGTGGGTGCAGGTGCTCAAGAACCTGGTCCATCTTCTACTGCTTTCCCAGGCCACAGCAGGGAGCCGTATCAGAAGAGGAGCAGCCGGGCCTAGAACTGGCGCCCACGTGGGATACCAGTGCTGCAGGTGGAGGATTAACCTCCTGCGCCACGGCACTGGCTCCCCACCCCCCAAGTACTTTTAACAGCCAGGGCTGGGCCAGAACGAAGCCAGGAGCCTGAAACTCCATCTGGGTCTCCCTCATGGGTGGCAGGGCCCCCAGCACTTGAGCCTTCACCTGCTGCCTCCCGGCATGTGCAGTCACAGGAAGGCATTGGGAGGGGAATGGAGACTCAAATCCAGGGACTCCAATACAGGATGTGAACTTCCCAAGTGGCAACTTAACTGCGTGTCAAATGCCTTCCCCTAGAAATACTTTATTTTCTACTTTCTTTATAGATTTCTTAGAAATAATTGATTATGTTCATTAATGAGTTTGCATGTAAGCTAGTTGTCTTGTATTTAATAGTTAGGAGGTGGGGTTTCAAAAAAGAATTTGATACATTTTGTCTTACCACTGATTTCTATGTCAGACTGGAACCAAGATGAATTTTTTTAAGTGGTGGTAAGAGTAAAGAAGATGCTAGTTAAAGATTTAACAGGAAAGGTTACCCTGTATTTTGAAGTCTTATTGCTGATAAAAATAAGCCTTTAATTATGAACTCTTCTGGGTTATTTAAGAGGACTACGTATGATAAAACTTGGTTATAATAAATCAGTCTTTGTTCTCGTCCTTGATTCTGTTTATTTCAGAAATATCTCTCTCCTCCCCTCTGAAGTATAATATAATTTAGTCTACTTCCACATCATAAAAATGTGGTGCTGTTTCTTTACATGCTATGTGACGAATACTTGCGCTGTCATGTCTACTAAGGCTACATTTATTTTTGTGTGTGTTACTTTTTTTTATATTTAGAACGTGCTAAGAGTCAGTTTCTGGGGAACAAACATTGGACGAGGAACCAAGACCCTCCTCTTCACTAAATTGATGTTGTGTGAATCATTTTACCTCTCCTGATCTCAGTTGCCTCATCTGTAAAAGGAAATAAAAATTCTGTACCTGTCTGAAGGTAAGAGCCCAGTTCAGAACTGCATTTGTTTGGGGAAGAAAGCCAACAAACAAGCTATTACTACCAGTAACAATAAAACATAAAAAGGAAAAAAGCAAAAACCAGACTTAATGCTTGTTTAAACACATATTATTTATTTTTTCATGTAAAGAGTTCTTGAAGTGGGCAGCCCAGGACAGGTGTACTGGCTTCATGAGGTCATCAGAGACCTAAGCTGCTTCCTGTTCTTTGATCTGCTGTCCCTAAGATGTGGCCCTGGTCCTCATAGTCCAAGCTAGCTGCCAGAACCCTAACCGTCACAGCCACATTGCAAGCAGCAAAACAAAAACAAAGAAGGGTGTAACCTGTCCTATTAAGGAGACTTCCTGAACCAAAGCGCTGGCTACAGGGGAACGGGGAAATGTGGCTGGATGCATGATTGCCCCAAAAAGCTTGAGCTTTTGTTCCTGAGGAGGAAGGGAAGATTTGGATTGGCAGGCGTAGAGAAGACTCTCTCACAGTATGGACCTCTTTCTCTGAGATCGCACGCTATGATAACCACTTAGGGAAGCTTCAGCAATTTGCCATGGCAGAGCTTGAAGTCTGACCATTGCTTACAGAAGAAGATCACCTCTGTGTAATACATCACGTTTCTGTTTTTATTTTTATGCCATGATTCATTACAGAAGTCTTTCTCTGTCATTTGAGGATTTGGCCTGGTTTTGTAAAAAAAAATTATCCATAAATGCACCGTAGATGTTTGTTGTGCACTTGATGGTTGTGTTAAAAAGAGCTAGCATTTATTGAGCCCTGTGCTAAAAGCAAGGCACTAAAATGACAGAAATAAGCTATCCCAAAGGTATCACGTAAGTAATCATTAGGAAATAAAGTTATGTTGGAAAGTATGAGCCGTCCCAAGATATATTTAATTTTTGTGTGGTCACAAGAGGTACACTTTTACCTTCTTGCTACTTAAAAGTAGTTTTTAACCACTTAACTGCTACAAGCCCTAGGTTACTTTATTTAGGCACACCAATGTTTTATTTCCTCATAGACAGTTCTTTGTAAATATTGCATTTCTCATGCAAAAGTGTTCAGGTGTCACTGTTTCTGTAGAAAAAGAGAAGAAGATGAACTGAAATAGCTTTGAGAAAAGGAAGCTGAAATTCAGGGGCTGGAAACTGAAATGGGGAAGAATATTTAAGATTTTGTTATTTCTTTAAAATATTTTTAAAGGCGATAAGGAGCAAATTAAGATCTTATTTCAACAAAATATATTTGAATTGTTGGAAGATTTTGCATGTTTTTCCTGTTATGTAGGTATTGATTTAATTTTTTTTAAAGATTTATTTGAAAGTCAGAGATACACAGAAAGAGGAGAGGCAGAGAGAGAGAGAGAGAGAGGTCTTCCATCCGATGATTCACTTCCCAATTGGCTGCAACAGCCGGAGTTGCGCTGATCCGAAGCCAGGAGCCAGGAGCTTCCTCTGGGTCTCCTACACGGGTGCAGGGACCCAAGAACCTGGACCATCCTCCACTGCTTTCCCAGGCCACAGCAGAGAGCTGGATTGGAAGTGGAGCAGCTGGGTCTCAAATCGGCGCCCATATGGGATGCCGGCGTTTCAGGCCAGGGCATTAACCCGCTGCATCACAGAGCCAGCCCCACAGTAATTGATTTATTTTCAGTGCCTCTATTTCATTTTCCCTTCCATCTAGAATTATTGACTTGAAATTAAAAAAAAAGAATCAAGAGCCTTTTGAGTATAAGAACACCCTAATTTTGTTTCCAAGAGACAGTTAACAGGGGCTGGCTTTGTGGTGGAGCATGTTAAGTCTCCGCCTGCAACACGGGCATCACATATGGGTGTCGGGTTCCAGACCCAGCTGCTCCACTTCCGATCCAGCTCCCTGCTAATGCACCTGGGAAAGCAGTGGAGAATGACCTAAGTCTTTGGGCCCCTGCACTCACATGGGAGACCCAGATGAAGCTTCTGGCTCCTGGATTCAGCCTGGCCCAGCTCCAGTCATTGCAGCCACTTTGGAAGTGAACCAGTGCACGGAAGATCTCTTTGTCTCTCTTTCTGACTCTCCTCCTCTTTCTACAACTCTGCCTTTCAAATAAATAAATAAAAGAGACAGTTAGCATTCTAAGTCAGCTGACTGGACATGTCTATTTGCTGAATATCATTTCAATAACTTTTAATTTTTTTCAGTGAACAGAAATCATGCTGTGTCTTGTTCTGTAAGCAGGTCTCTTCACGTTGCAGTTGCTTATTGAATAACCTGCCTTCTGCATTAGATTGAAACACTCTGAGGGTAGGGAGCACTTCTCTCTCACTCTTTTGTCTTCTAGTATTCTGTTAGGTGCATAGTAAGTCTCTTTACTTCAACGAATACGTCTGTATGGGAGATTAAAGAATGCATACTTAAATTCAACCTTAAACTAAAGGGAAAGAATAGCAAGAGGAAAGGTTTGAGGGAAGGAGAAAAAGGCTGTGAGGGAGGAACAGAGAACTGTTCACAGGGAAAGAGAGAGGCAGACTAGTTTCAGTTTTCTGCAGTCTTTTTAAAAGATTATTTTTTATTTATTTGATAGGCAGAGTGACAGAGAGAGGGACACACACACACACACACAGAGCGAGAATGAAAGAGAGAAATCTTCCATTTGTTTACTCTCGAATGGCTGCAATAGCTAGGGCTGGGCCAGACCAAAGCCAGGAGTGAAGAGCTCCATCCGGGTCTCCTATATGGGTGGCAGAAGCCCAAGTGCTTGGACAGTCTCCTCCCACCCTCTGGTGCATTTGCAGCGAGCTGGATCAGAAGCAGAGCAGCTGGGACACCGGCATCACAAGCAGTGGGTTAATCCACTGCAGCACAACGCTGGCCCCAAGTTTTGTATTCCTTCCATCCTTTTTTCAAAAGTGTTCATATTTGAGAGGCAGAGAGAAAGAGAATTCCCATCCATTGGTTCATTCCTCAAATACCCACAACATCCTTCCCCATCCTGACTAAATCCAGGTCTCCCAAAGTGGGTGGCAGGAACCTAATCTCTGTGCCATCACCATTGCCTCCCAGGGTCTACATTAACTGGAAGCTGGAGTCAGGAGTGGAGCCAGTGGCAAACCCAGGAGGTCTCACTTGAGATAGGGAGTCAGCTACTGGACCAAACACCTGCTCCAACCGTTGTTTTTAGCCAGTTTTGGGATATCTTGCCCCACCGTCAGACTAGGAAACTGTCATATGCACAAACACACGCACACACACACCACCACCACCACCACCAGCAAGAGCAACAAGTAAACGTGATATGGATAACTACTGATAGGAAATTCGCTGCTGTGAATGGATAGGAATTTGATTTGGCAAGACAGAGGGAAGGAGATAAGCTTCCTTTTAGGACTTGGAAATTGAGGGAAATTATTTTGTACCTACTGAAAACTAAGAGCAGCTCATGAACCCTGCTTAGCTTGTCACTTTGGCTGAGGTTCCGATGTATTTGGGCTCAGGGTTTCCATGTGTCTCCAAGTTGCATGCTTTAGGATTGCTTTCTCTTTTTAAAGATTTATTTGTTTATGTATTTGAAAGGCAGAGTAACAGAGAGGGAAGTAGAGACAGAGCCAGAGAAGACAGAGAGAGAGAGGGAAAAAAATAAGATATTCCATCCACTGGTCCACTCCTCAAGACACTGCAAGTCATGTCTGAGCCAGACCAAAGCTAGGAGCCAGGAACTCCATCTGGGTCTTTCACGTGAGTGGCAGGAGCCCAAGTACTTGGGCCATCTTCTGCTGCCTTCCCAGGTTCATTAGCAGGAAACTGAAACAGGACAGCTGGGTCTCAAATTGGCACTCTGATATGGGCTGCCAGCATTGCAAGTGACGGTTCATCCTGCTGAACCACAATGCCAGCCCTGATGTAGGATTTCTCATCATCCTGCTGTAGAGAGTAAATGATCATCCTGCCCTGGTTCAGATCCGTCTACTATTTCAGCGTAGCTCAGCTCAGTGTCTCCTCTTTAGGTCTCTATCTTTCTTATGGAAGAAGAGGGTGATAAGGGAAGGGAGAGGCTGTTCTTACTGACTCAAGAATGGAAGCAAAGTAGGTCAGTCTCCCCTTCTTCCCTTTGCCTCTGCTTACCACTCCTCCCTCCTTCTTTCCTGTTGATATTCGTGTACTTTGCAGTTCGTGAAAATCTGTAAACCTATCTCTGACACATTTGACATTATCTTGGTATTTAAAGAGATTTTAGTGTCATTGATTTTCTACCTAATGTACCAGAGCACTTTCCATTTTTTGTTATGATAACAGTTGATATTTATTGAGGACTTATTAAGGAGTAGAGTAAATGTTTAAGTTAATTTGTCCTGGTTATAAGCACTAAAAGATTAGAAATTAGTAGAGGGGGACTGGCGCTGTGTTGTAGTAGGTTAAGCCTCATCCTGCAGTGCTGGCATCCTATATGGGTGCCGGTTCGTGTCCCAGCTACTCCTCTTCTGATCTGGCCTGGGAAAGCAGTGGAAGATGGCCTAAGTTCTTGGGTCCTTGCACCCATGTGGAGACCTGGAAGAGACTCCTGGCTCCTGGCTCCAAATTAGCCCAACTCTGGCCTTTGTGGTCATTTGGGGAGTGAACCAGCAGATGGAAGACCTCTCTCTCTGTCTCTCCATCTCTCTCTCTGTAACTCTGCCTCTCAAATAAATTAATAAATTAAAAAAATTAGTATGGGTAAAGGTATACCTAAACATTCTTCATCAATCTAATACAAAAAGGCAAAGGAGGAGAGGAAATATGTACTAAAGAGGCAGGATAAATGGAAGGCTTTAAAAAAGATAGTAAGCTCTTGGCTCCTGGCTTCAGATTGGCGTAGATCCGGCCATTACGGCCAGCTGGGGAGTGAACCAGCGGATGGAGGACCTCTCTCTCTGTCTTTACCATACTCCCCCGCCCCCGTCTCTACCCCTCTCTGTAGGTCAGTCTTTCAAATAAATAAAATAAATCTTAAAAAAATAAAGAACATGGTAGAT